CAGCTTCTCCAAATCTTTCCAAACTCTTCCTATAAACCAGTTGCAAAGGTTTTTAAGTAACATGGGCAGGCACAGTCATAGCAACAATCCTACCTTTCTGGTATCAATTCTCCGTGCTAGTCAGCTTTCCCATGCTGGACCCAATGGCTAACACCCACCATTTCAGAGAGGAAAGGTTTAATTTGGCTCACAACTTTGGGAAATTCAGTCTGTGTTCAGCGGGCTCCAAGAGAGAAACATCACGGTAGGAGAGTGGTGGAGAAAGGATACATGGCCCATGACAACAGGGAAGCAGAACAGGTGAAGAGGGTCAGAGAAGAAGAGGGAATGGTCAGATGTAGTGCTGTGGTACCCAAGGTCACACTTCCAAGGCACACCCAGACTCTCCCCAGAGTATGCTTCACTAATCTGTTAGGTCTTTCTTCATCTATTCAGCTGACATACTGTGATTAATAGTCCTAGTAATGTTCATTGTAGGTCTCTTTCACTTCTTCCCCTAAGTTTATTTCTAAGCTTTTGTTTTTGTGTTTGTAGTTATTGTGAATGAAACTGTTTTCATGATCTCTCTCAGCAAATTCTTTTTTTTTTGATTTTTTTCCAGTACTGGGAATCGAACTCATGACCTTATGCCTGCCAGGCAGGCGCTGTGCCTCTGAACAAAATCCCCAGCCCTCTCTTAGAAAATTCATTATGAGTGCACAGAAAAGTGAATACTTTTTATGTTAATTTTTGTATCTTGTTACTTTACTGAGTTTATTAATTCTAATGATCTCACAGTCTTTAGTTTTTTCCGTACATAGAATCATATTATTTGCAAACAGTGATAACTTGATTTTCTCCCTGTTTGCCTTTATTTGTTTCTCTTGTCTAAATGTTCTGGCTACAACTTCTAGTACTAAATTAAATAAGAGTGGACACCCTTTTCTTATTCTTTTTTAAAAATATTTTTATTAGTATAAGTTTTCAGGACATAATGATTGCATCCATTGTGGGGAATGGTACATGTAAATAACATATCACCTCTCTCCCCGCTCCTTCCACCTCTTTGGTCCCTTCCCACCTACAAAAGCTCTCTCTCTCTCTCTCTCTCTCTCTCTCTCTGTTTCTTATTATCTATATTTTGCTCTCTAAATTATTTATACTTTGGGTTTCTCATATAAGAGAAACAATGAGATATTTAAGCTTGTATGTCTGATTTTTTCAATTAACATGGTCTCAAAGTGCATCCATTTTCCTACAAATGTCTCAAGTTCATCTTTCTTTATAGAAGAAATGCTTTCAGCATTTTCCCACTTAGTTTGATGTTGATTGTGTGTGTGTCTTATACAGCCTTTATTATGTTGAGACATGATCCTACTAAACATAATTTGTGCAAGGCTTTTCTCATGAAGCAATGGTGAATTTTATGAAGTTCGTTTTTTGCATCTACTGAGACAATTGCATGATTCTCATCATTCTGTGGATACGATGCATTATATTTATTGAGCTGCATGTGTCGAGCCAACCTCATGACACAGCCAACTTGACTGTGGTGTATGATCTTCTCATCATTCTGTTGAACTCAATTTGCTAGTGTTTTGTTGAGAATTTTTGCATCTATTGTCATCAAGGATTTTACTGTAGATTTTTCTTTTTTGCTGCATCCTCAACTGGTTTTAACAACAGGGTAATTCTGGTCTCATAGAATGAATCTGGGAGGTTTCCTTCCTTTTGGTTGTATCAAATAGTTTGAGAAGAACTGCCATTCATTCTTTAAAGTTTAGTAAAATTCAGCATTAAGGCCTCCTGGTATCTTTCTCAAGAAGGACCCTGGCTCCAGCACCTGGGGTTCACTGGAGAGGATGTGAATTCCTTCTCCACAGCAGGTCCCACGGATGTATTTTGACTACTTAATTGAGTGGGCTGCAAGCTTACAAGGACACTGGAACCCCACACAGCAGGGAGGACACCAGCATGTCACAGGGAAGGGTGTCTGGGACTCTCCACTCATCCTCCCTCTCCAGGCTGTGGAGTCAGGGTGCAGATGCTGGGGATTTCATTTTTCTTTCTGTGCTGCTGTCCCAATCTCTCAACCACACAAGCTCTCTTCCCTGCTGATTTCCAGCGTTCCCTCCAGCAGCCACCTCACCATGTGTCTGCTGTTGTTCCTCTCTGTATGCAGGAGGCCAAGCTGAGCACCTGTATTCGGCTGTTTCCTTCTCCCAGCCTTTACTCTCATCGTCTACACAGTTTGTTCCCTGTTTTTATTTTACATACTCAGGGAACATATAAAACTAGTCAAAATATTTAAGGAAAACAATTCCACCATGGCGAATTCCTGCTTATCACCTGCCTTCTGTCGAAAGCTAGTTTTCAGAAAGGTGAAATCATAACTCTTGTATAAATATAAAATACACGTGTTGCACGGATTTTAACCCATGAGTTAATAAGAGGGCAGGGAGAATATTATACTAGTTCCGAGGCAAATCTTGAGAGCAGATATTTATACATAGACAAGAGCACTGAACTGGATTTGCTCAGAGATATAAAACCAGGTAATATAATGCACTCAAGGGGGAATGTTTGGAATAATAATTTCTGCAAGATGGAAATCAATTATATCTGTGCCAAACAAAGGTAATCTTCATTTCTGGGGATAAGAGTCATTTGTGTTACTACTAGTTCCTACATCTTTCAGAATTATAAAATAGAGAAAGCTAGTCCCTTAGAAATTCCCTGTAGATTCAGCTACATCTTCTAGAGATCCAGCCTTCAACAAAGTGTTTTCTAAATCACACTCAGTGCTCTTCTGACAGGATAATCAGATATGTGCTTCCATTTGGAAGTCTTTTGCTATCCCCCTGACACTTCATCTCCACTGCAAGCCATATTCATTCATTAGGAACCAAATTGAACCTTCCGGATGAAAATTTGAGCAATTGATTTAATAGCTATCTTTGTTTTGTTATGGATTATGCAGATATTAAATTCCAATTCAGTGCACACAACTAGATATTCAGAATCATACATATTTGGATTGTCTTTATGAGTGCTAGCCAATGGATCTCTGTTACAGTCATTTGTACTCAGCCAGGTGGCCACAGTGGGGGGACCTGTCAGCCACACCCAGACTTTATAAACTCATCAAGTGACCACTAGACTCAGGAGGACCCTGAGAAAGAACAGAACACCCATCAGAAATTCCGGTGCTGATATTGTTCTGGAAGTGTTCAGAGACATGAAACGACAGATGAGTGTGTGGCTTTGACAGTGTGTCAAAGTCCAAGCAAAGGCAGAAGCTAATTCCTGTGCCCCTCTGCTCTCGATCACCAGGGAACAGGGACAGTGCAGCACCTGGCAAGACACGCAGACCGAAGACCTGCCCTTTGGGTGCTTATGGAGGAGGAAATGGCAACCTGGGAGAGTGCTCCTCCTCCTTCCTGTCCCCACCCTGTCTGCTTTCCACACCTCCCATCTTCATTCTTTCTCTTTGCTCCTCCCAATGCCTCCCCCTTTCCCTTTTTGTGTTCACTCCTTTCTTTCTCTCCTGCCTCACCTCCAGCAGCTTTATCTCCAGCCTTGCTAACATGTTCTCCTTCTCTTAGGTGAGGCTAAGCCTTCATTTTCTGCACGGAGGACGTTGTCCCCTACTCCTGACCTGTCTGTGTGAAGGCAGAGAGGTACAGCACATGGAAATGGTGACATTTTAGCAAATAGCCACATCAGTGTCGCCTGTGACGTGCTGCCTCTGTGTCTGTCAGAGTTTCAACTCTAAAACCCTAATGAAGATCTTGTTTCCCTCTGAGCTATACATTTTCTCTTTCCCCTGAAGGTACCTATAATTAATAACACTTCCTATTAACCTTGAGTTTACAGGAATCAGACACTGCTGGGGTCTGGGGCCTGGGGTCTGGAGCCTTGGTTTTAAAGCTGCAGCAGACCCAGTGCAGGATGTCGCAGTGTGAGCCCAGCGGGAGGCAGAGGGATGTGCAGACAGGTTTCCTGCTTGGAGTGTTAGGAGAGGAGAGATGAGCTCCGCCTGGGAAGAGTCACAGAGGGCCAGGACTCAGGGAACGGGAGCCCGAAGGTGTGAGACTCAGGCCTACATGACAGGAGGAGGACACGGTTCCCGCGCAGAGCCATGAACAGGAGAGATGGGGAAGGCGGGACCGAGGGGGAGAGCGAGGAGAGGACCTGAGGGCTGCAGGTAGTGTAGGAGAGGCCAGCCTGTGACGAGCCAAAGCATTTGGCCTCTGTTCTTAGCTAGATATTAGGCATGGGAACTGACTCTGGAAGGCTGCCCTGGGAGGGACTTCTCCAGCACTGGGAGAGATTGCACCGGGGAGAGCTGAGAATCGAGCAAGGAGACCACAGTGAGGTTTTAACACAGTGCCGCCACCACAGCCCGGCATCCCCCTTGTGCCGCTTCGGTGGGTGTTGTGTTCAGGGGGTGACCTCCACCTTACAGGGCAAAGCGGGGCGCATCCACACCTCTCCGCACTCAGCCTGTTAAACGCAATGCCTCCTAGTCTTCCTCCTGCAGCCGTGCTGGCCTCCTGAGGGCGCACCCGGTTCAGCTGCAGAGATCTTGGCTCGGCGGGGCCCTGCTTGGGATTTCATGCTCTATTGTTGCCATCTTGAAATTTTAAATTTTTGAATGAGTGGCTTTTCGACATGTTTCTCTGCACCCCACAAATGATGGGGAGGGGCCGCTCCCAGCAGTCTACAGGTGGAGCCTTCAGACAATTCTTGAAGCCTCAGGGCAAAACAGCCCGAGAACCTTCTAAGCTTTGCCAAGATTAGCAAAGGAAGGTCACCAGGCTCTCTCCAAAGATGCCAGAGAGAGGGTCTCTCCTGAGGTGGCCAGGGACAGATTCTTCAGGGCCCTCCCTAGCTGGCCAGCTGTGGAACATCTGAACCGTGGCTCCAGTACTCTTCAGCTTGGGGGGACAGGATGAGGGCGTTCTTGACTTTGCAGAGACTTCAGGAAGAAAGTACTTGGTGAAAGGTGAGGCCACCCGTCAGCTCCTGCTGCTGTCCTGCTTAGTCTCAGCTGTGTGGTTCTCAGCGTGTTTATTCTCTGCTTCCCAGTGACCAGTGGACAAGGCTAAATTTCTCATTTCCTCCAGGGAGGCTGGGGAGAGGCACGGGGCACGGAGAGGAACTCGTATTTATTGCTGTCCCCTGTGGCTCCCTCCCCAGCCTCCGCCCCCTCCTGCAGCCACATGGCCCTCTGGCTTCTTCCTGCAGCCACCAGCCCAGGCAGGCGGTGCCTCATCTCGTCTCTGGGGCCACAGAGCCTGGTCCAGGGCTCACCCTCCACTTCTTCTCACCTCCCGGCCGTGCAGTTGAATGAGAGCTGCTGAGGCTCACCTCACCTAGGAGGCTGGGGAGATCTGCAGTGCAGTGCGGGTTCAGTCCTGGAGCCGGGAAGCCACAGGAGAGCGAGGTAGGCTTTGCTTCATCTTGTTGCGTGGGGATAGAGCAGCTCTGACGTCCATGCGTGGGCCCCTGCTGCACTTCCAGTCGGTGGCGTCTTCTCAGCTGGCAGAGATTCACAGGTGTGTGAGACTGTGAGGAAAAAGAGCAAGAGGGGCATGATGGGGGGTGTTTCGGATGGATGTCTTTGCACAGATGAGACCAACAGCGCAGTGCATGGAACACAAAGCTGGGTCTTGTTTCCTCTGGGGGACAAATCTCTTCCAAAGTTGTATCTTTCGGCTTCTGCATGGGGAAAACAAGTTTGCCAAATGCCTTTTCTTTGCAAAAATGTAGATCTCTACCATGATTCTTTTTTATGCCTTTCTGAATTCCTTAGTGAAAAATGTGTTCAGGTTAACAGAGAACAGCAAGTGCTTCTAACGTAGGGTACCCGGGGGCGATAGGTGGAAGAGAATGCGCACTCTGTGCAGGGTTCTGGTGGAATTCCAGAATTTTCCAGAATTTTCCAGAATTCGAGAATTTTCCAGAATTTTCTATGGAGCAGTTGCACTTCCTGAGTTTTCCTGAGATTAAATGCAAATGGTGACAGTGTACACTGAGGATGACCAAGCAGGTGGATCCCCTGTACTCTGCGGCAGGAATCGCCCACGGGGATGGCAGGATTTTGTCTGACTGCTGTTGTGGGTCACCATTTCTTTTAAAATGAGGAGTGAGCTGGAACCCAGAGAAGGGTCAAGTCTTGTTCAACGGCACTGCAGATGGCTCTGGATGTTTTTGTTGCTGTTGTTTGCCTCTTTTCTTTTTATTGCTTCATGTTAACCTCAGCCAGCCTCTCCTCTGGGAGAAGTATCTCATGCTAACCTCGTAGAAATCAACCTATTTCTGTCTATTGATTCTGTCTGTGCACTGTTCTCCTCTGGCTTGTTTAGTTGAGATGTTCGTTATTTCTTGCCACTCACATATTTTACTTCAGGGAACCCCCACCCCCACCAGTACCCCCCAGGCCCCACCCTCCACTTCTCACCTCCCCCCCTACAGTGTTCCTGGGAAACGCAGTTCCCTGCTGTGTCTCACTGCATCTTAGGCACCTGCTGTTCACAGCTACGCTACCTGCAAGTGTGGTCAGGCGACGGTCACATTAGGTGTCCCTTGGGAGCTGGGTAGAGATGAAAACTTCAACCTTCCCTGTGCTTGCGCATCTGTACTTTGTCCTGGTCCCTGGGAATCCCAGTGCCTGCTGCAGTTTAAGAAGCTCTGACAAGAGACGGTGGCCGAGGCTGCCCAGGTTGGCCCATGGCACCTGCCTGTCACAGCGCTCGGCGCCTGTGCTGCTCTGCCACCCAGACATCGCATTTCCTTCTCCACCCCATTACCCATTACAGACTGATCTGTGCCCTCAGTCCCTTATCCACCCCCGCCAACACCGAGCACCCTGAGGTCTCTGACTTTATGGCACCTGGCTCAGGGCTGTGGTGTGAGGCCCTGCACACTGGATGAGGGTGGCTGCCTAGATTCCCCTCCTGGAGCCGTCACTGGGCTTTGATTGACAAATCGGTAGCCCTTCTCCATGCTAGGTGTTTAGCTTGTGCTCTGTCTGTGTTGAACTCACAAATGCATGAGTGAACATATTAGTGTGCGCATTGTGCGAAGGATTTGGAGTTGTCAGACAGATCTAGAGCTTGAAGCTTTCCATAGCTTTCCCCTGACACTCTGTTTTTTTTTGTCCTGAGACTTTACTGGACTTAGTTATTGACTGAATACTTTGAGTCCCCACACTGCCGTGCCTCTGAGAACCTGTGACATCCCTGTGACACCCTTGCCACAGGTGCTTCCCCGTCAGGTCAGGACCCCCTTCTTCACCACCCAGGTTGAGCTGAGTTCTTCAGGCCCTCCCACACCAGCCCATTTGCTGTGCGCCAGGCTTGGGACGCTAAGGATGCAGATGTGAATTCTGCTTCCGTGATGCCCCCTGTAGAGGACTTTTGGCCCCTCAGTCTTGCTGCTCCCTACAAAACCATGAAGGAAAATTAAAGAAGGCTGATTGCTGACGAATGCTGGCATCAGGAGCTTGAGGCAGCGAGGTGAACCCTGATGATGCTGCTGCGGCTGAGCCCAGCAGCTCGAAGCCCACGCCTCACCTGTAGCTCCTAACAGGAGGCCCTAGTACCTCCCCAGCCTGCTCAGCCTCAGTTTCTCAACTGATGGACAAGACAGGGAACTGCAGGGAAAGGAAACCTTTGACTTTCCTGAGGGCACAGAGGAGCCCAGGCCCCAGGAGCTCCGGGGGGACCAGCAGGGCGGTGCAGCTTGGAGCCGAGATAGTGAGGAGCAATGTCACTGCACCGTGCCATGGACTCAGCTATGGGCCTCAGCATGGTTCTCTGGTGCCTTCCTCCCCAGAGCACAGGCGGTGATGGCTCCCAGGCATGGTGCCCCGAAGCCCAGAGGAATCTGTTGGGTACTGAGTGTAGGCGCGGCTGGTTTTCAGTGGGTCTGCACCAGCCTGCAGCAAGCTCCACTTCTTGAAAGCAGCCAGGAGAGGGTCAGCAAGCATTTCCCAGTGTGCAGGAAAGCCCAGGAGCCTGCAGATGTAACCAGCCCCTGCCTGGCCCTCGTAGTGGGGAGGGCTCTGCTGCATGCCGTTTTCCCTTCTCCCCCTACACTGCTGTGCTGTCCAGATTTTGCCTTCAATTCTTTATGGAGCTGGGTGGATCTCACCTGCTGCTCCTGTGCAATGTGAGCGTAGCGAGGAGGAAGCTTGTGCTTCCCACCTGTTCTCCAGGGTAAGATGGCACTGACTGCTCAGGCCACTCAAGGGACCACGCTGGCTCCCTTCCCCCTGCTCCTCCTGCTGCCCCCTCATCTGGAGCTTGCGATGCACACCTCCCAGGTGCCCAGAATTCTTTTTCTTCCTGTTGTTCCTCCCTCTCTTCACTTCCGGGCTTCCTGGATGCCCGTCCATCTGGCCCTGCAGAAGCAGTGTGTTATGGGTCATTTCCTAGCTGCTCAAATCCACTTTGATCTCCTTTAACAAGTGCAGGTGTCACAGCAGAGCGGCATTAACCTGCACAAGGACGGTCTAGCTGGATGCCACAGGTCTCCGAAGGGATCCAAGGCTACACTTAACCTCTTCCAAATTCAACACTTCTTTTTCAACTGGAGGCATGTGGTGGGCTAGACAGAGGCAGACCTGCTTTTGGATTCCCCTATGTGTTACTTCTTTAGACAACTAATTGTATCTTGCTAGATCTTAGTTTTATTTCTGGAAACGGGTGTTAACACTTAGCACACAAATGTAGAGAAGGTCAATGGATTTTAAGTGCCTACCTAACAGGTTGTTTTAAGAAATAACCAGATCTTTCCAGGCCTAGTACTGCATGCCTGTAATCTCAGGTAGTCTGGGAGGCTGAAGCGGGTGATCTCAAGTTCAAGCCCAACCCGTGCAACTTAGGGAGACCCTGCCTCAAAAATTTAAAAGTGAGCTGGGAATGTAGCTCAGTGTAAAGGCCCTGAGTTCAATATCTAGTATTAAAACAAGAAAAGACAAGGAGAGGAGAAGAGAGGAGAGGAGAGGAGAGGAGAGGAGAAGAGAGGTGAGGAGAGGAGATGAGAGGAGAGGAGAGAAGAGGAGAGGTGAGGAGAGGAGAGGAGAGGAGAAGAGAAAATCTTGAAAAACAGACTGGCCAAGATGGCGAAAATGAGAAAATTATCACTCACAGAATATTTGAAGGGACATTCGGTAGTAGATGAAGGGTGTAGCACATGTAGCACATGTAGCACATGTAGTACATGTACTGGCAGCACATGAAGGGTGTTTCTAAACATTTAATGCTTGCTCCGAGTGGGAAAAGAGAGACCCACCAGACCAATGAGTGGAAATTATAGGGTAACAGATTCCAGCTCAATGTGCGGAAGAATTCACCCACCACCAGAATTGTCCACAAGTGGTGAGCTTGTGGCGTGGGGGACACCCTGTCCCTGGCGAGGCTCCAGTGCCCTGGAAGAGGAGAGGCCTGAATGTTCCCCGAGGGATGCCTGTGCTGGGTGGGGTCTGGGTGATGACCTGAGAAGTCCTTTCCCGCTCCTGAGGCTCCTGATGTCAGCGCCCTAATCCAAGCCACAGACACACACACACACAACGGCCCCCAGGCTGGGGTGACGAGAGCCGATTCTTAGTAGCCAGCCCTGCTATCCGCTGCACTGATTTTAAAATAGGATCTCTCCAACAATGAAGTAGGTTGGACTTCCAGGAAAAAGCCAGAAATGGGAACAATGATGAGGGAAAAGTTCACTCCAAACCACTCTTCTTGGGTCGCCCCGAACCGGACTGTGACTCAGTCCTTGTGCTGCAAACACATTCCTGTTTGATGGAGAACTGCCATGTTTTGGTACATTTTCAGCCAAACCAGAGGCAGGCAAATATCGGTCACTCTCAGAACGCTGCGCCCGGTGTCTTTGTCTGTGGAGGGACTGTGGATACGTGCTCTTAACCACGGAGAAATCTACAGTGAAAAGTGAATTGAATGGCTCTGCTGTCCTCTAACGTCAAGGTCCCGGAGTGGGAAGCTGGACATGGGGAGAGGCGGCCACTGCCTGTCTGTGTCGGGTCCTCAGCCCCTGTCTTTCACCCACCTTCCCTTCTCTACTAATGGAGCCTCGGTCACTCTATCCTCTATGCCACCGAGGACCCAGACATGGCCTCCCAGAAGTCAGGGCTTAGCTTGGCGGGCCCGGCTGCCCTGGGTCCTGGTGTCCTGTGTGGTCCAGGCAAGCTGGCTGCTCTCGAGGCTTGCGGTGCTCTCCTCTCCTGCAGACAATGGGCACTTTTTCAGCATAGCTCTGCTTCCTTCCACCTCACTTTGAGATGCTGGGTGAGAAGTATTATCCTTTCAACAGATACAGGCATCAGCAATGCCTTTGATCGTCAGAGCCTTATGGATCATGAAATGTTTTATTCTCCAGGTTTATCTAGGCTTTCTCAAAAACAACAATACAGAAAAAAAAAAT